CCACTTATCAGTGATGCTGAAGAAAGGATTCAGACAGATAAAGCCAGGATCTGTTAGTGGGAAGAAGGATGACCATGTTCGCGTGTGTGTGTGTGTGTGTGTGTGTGTGTTAGTGGGAAGGATGACCATGTTCGTGTGTGTGTGTGTGTGTGTGTGTGTGTGTGTGTGTGTGTGTGTGTTGGAGGGGGTAGTTTGCCCAGGTGCAGGTGTACGGGCAGATGTTGAGGGAGGGTCTTCACTGTTGGTGGGTGGTTGTGTAAAAGGAAAGGTACCACTCATTGATTACCTTCCCTATATATCTCACGGAAACCCTGGTGGTGTAGTGGTTAAGAGCTAAGGCTGGTAACCAAAAGGTTGGAAGTTTGAATCCACCAGGCACTCCCTGGAAACCGTATGGGGCAGTTCTACTCTGTCCTATAGGGTTGCTATGAGTCAGAATCGACTCGACGGCAATGGGTTTGGTTTTTGGTTATATATCTCATAGCCTTGCTTTCACACTGCTTCCTCTTTTAATTTTTTAACTATAAACGACTGCCATGTCAGTGTGTTGCCTTAAAATAAATTGTTGACCAATTTGGCACAAATCTGGAAAAGTGTATTCAGGGAGGCAATCCCTGCTTCCCCCCAGCTGTATTTCTAGTTTCAAGCATCAGTTTTCATCAGTTCCCTCCTTTGTTCAACAATCTAAGACAACTTCTATCTAGCACAGTGCTCTTCAATAGAAATATAATGGGAGCCACATAGGTAATTCAAAATTTTCTAGTAGCCACATTCAACAAAATTAAAAAGAAACGTGTGAAATTAGTTTTAATAATATATTTCATTTAACCCAACATATCCAAAATAATTTCACTTCAACATGTAATCAATATAAAAATTATTACCAAGGACTTTTACATTCTTTTCTTTGTACTAAGTCTTTGAAATCTGGTAAGTATTTTACACTTGCTGTTGTTAGGTGCCACTAAGTTGATTCCAACTCATAGCGACCCCAAGTGACAGAATAGAACTGCCCCGTAGGGTTTTCTCAGCTGTAATCTTTACAGAAGCAGATCGCCAGGTCTTTCTTCCACGGAACTGCTGGGTGGGTTCAAACTGCCAACCTTTCCATTCTTCCATTTGCAGTGGAGCACTTAACTATTGTGCCACCGGGGCTCCTTATTTTATACTTACAGCACATCAATTCAGAGTGGCCACTTTTCATGTACTCAGTAGGCTAGTGGCTAGCAGATCAATCTAAACAGCTCTGCTCAGTTTTCCTAGTGTGGTCTTGCCTAGCCAACAACGGTCACACTACTTGCCAGCAGAGCCGGTGTTCCAGCTCCTCTCTTCACTGTTCCTTCAATGCACCGTGTACATTCACCTTCCATACCTCTGTTTATGGGTGTTCCCCCATCATGGCATTCCCTTACGTCCCCTCTTATTCTTCCCCAGTTCTTAAAGTTCCAGTATGTTCTCCAACCAATACAGAGTTTAAAATGAGTGCAACAGGATTTTGTAATCAATTAAGATACTACCCTTAATTTGTCACTGTCATGTACGTTGTTTCCTCTTCCCACCTAGGTTTTAATCTATTTATAAAGCAGAGGATATGTTTTATATTTTGTTAGCATTAGTAAATACCATATTTAGTATATAGTACCCAGAACCATTGTTGATGCTCCATAAATACCTATTGATTTGTTGACTGAGGGAATCAAACCACTGTCCAAAAAACAGCATGGCTTTATTCTCTGTTCAATTCTGTAGATACACCATTTCTTAGCAATAGCTTGAGTTCAAATTGTCTTCTCTTATACTTTGGCCATTTAAAAACTCAAGCATTCCCTAAACAACACAGCAAGTGGAGGTCTGTTTATCTTGAAGTTAACAAAAAGTAAGTGTACCCCTTTGGACATTCTGACTTACCAGCCAAGGTGTCCAGAAGTTCACCTTTACGCCAGTGTGATGTCTCCTGTCATTTTATGATGTTCTGTTTACACTAACAACTTTCAGGCAGTTTATTCATACCTCAAAACACAATCCTGCAATTTAGGGATTCTGCCACCAGATGGTGATGGGGCATCTTGGTCAAGGTTACACAGTCCAGACTGGAAGATACTTACCAAATACTCCTAGTTTAATAATGATACTTACAGAACACATTTCAAAAAACAATTCATGAGGATTCTTTGGTACCTTTGTAACTTATTCTCAACTATTATTAATCACAGCTTTGTTTTATACCTTTCCCAGATAATCTTTAAATGCACCTTTCTATCCCATTTTGTAATTTATCTCAAAGTCAAATGACCCCTGGACTAAATAAATAATTCAGTTTTACAGAGACCAAAGCCACAGGTTTAAAGGAGTTTTTGAACAATGTTTTAATCAATTTCTATCCTCTCCTAAAATTCTTTACTTTTGATATTCAGTCTTCTCAATTTTAAAGCTTCAAGGTGGAAAAGGGACCATGTTCTGTGCTGCTCAGCTGCAGGGGTCAGAGCAAGGTCCTCTGGTCTGACACACGACAGATGCCTGGTCCTGAGAACTGACTATGAATGTGTGGGTCTCAACACTGCCACTGTCTGATGTCAGGAGTCGTTCCTTGTTATTTGTAGAATGCCCCTTTCTTATGTTCTAGGGGTGGAGACATGACATTATCTGTAAATCTTTAGAAAATCATTACAAACTTAATGCTAGGTATTCATCTGAATAAATTCCTCTTTAAGGAGCTGCCAAATCCATCTCCCTAAAGTGCTCTCCAATCTGTGCAAACCTAGTGATGTTTCAGAGATCGCTGGCTCACCACAGTTGCTCATTAAACATGACCCCTCAAAATCTCATTAAGTTTTTCCTCCAAAGCAGCTAGTTAAAGCCTCCATACTGATTTTCTGAACTTATGATATAAATGAAAAGACCCAAAAAACAAATTTAACAAAAATTCCCAACGCACTTAGAATCTAAACGCCTTACTGTGGCCCATAGGTCCCAGTGACCCAGCCGCTGCTGACGCTCCATCCTCATCTCACACCAGCATCCGCCCATGCACACTGTGTGCCAGCACTCAGATCCTTGACCCACCAAGCTCTCTTCTGTCTCTGTTGTTTCTTTCTTGAACACTCCCACCCCCCATAACCCCACTGCAGTCTCAGCAAAAATATCCCTTTCTCAGCCTGTTCTGATAACCCTTTCTGAAGCAGCCTCCCCTGCCCAATTACCGTTTATCCCTCGACTCTGTTTATTTCTTTTATAGCCCTTATCACTACCTGGCCTTACCTAAGTTATTTATGTGAGTACTAGTTTATTACCTTTCTCTCCCTATTAGCATGTAAGCTCCAGAAAGGATGGAGCTTGCTCTCTTGTTCATCACAATACCTAGACAGTGCCAAGCACAGAGTAGCCGTTCAGGGAATATTTATTGAACGGCTTACTCATATTAAGACTTTCGATTGCGCTTCCTACAAACCACGTGACTAGTGACTCTGATTACTTAATAAGAGAGTTAGCATATTTGAGTTTCTCTTCTTTCCATTTTTTCCTATCTCCATTTCCGAGGAAGATGTGTGTTAGCAATGAAAGGACTTCAAGCTGGAAGCAATAGCGAAGAAAGTCATGAGCTGAGAGCTTTTCTGAAGTTTAACCTCACTGCCATATTATACTTGTTAAATGTCTACAGTCATACAGACACGTGAGTATGACCTAGTTAGTTTCTAAATTCACCCCTCCCTGGATCCTTAGGCTCTGCCTGCCTGCAGCTCTCACTAAAGCACATGGATTTTAGCGCATGGACTATGGAGACAGACACACCCACATTTGAATCTTGTCTCTGCCACTTACCAGCCATACGGTCTTGGGCAAGTGTTTATACTCAAGCCTCAGTGTCTTCATCTGTAAAGTGGGAATGATAATAGTACCTACCTCATAGAGTGGTTGTGGGATGAAATGGGTAACTCAGGTAAAGGTCTCAGTAAAGTGCCTTGCACAGAACACCACACAAACAATAGTTATTATCCTCCCTCTTCTCTCTCCCCGACTCTGTAACTTTTCATGGTTATTTTTATCAGCTGTTGTCAGTTTTAGCTCAGGGTGTCCTCCGAGTTCCGGAACACAGAAAGCTAGCCAGTGCATACCACTCTTCAGATAATCAGGGTGGGTGTTCGGGACAGAAAAAAGGACCTTCTCACATCTTTGTAATTTCAATATACCTCTCATTAGCCAGCCTGCTGCAGGGACAACAGTTACCAAGAGAACTCACTGGGTGTTTTGTTGGATTGGAATAAATGGGGCTATATCCAGATCTCAGATTAGAGTTTGTAATAGTTTGCAGAATGCTAGAAAACAAAAGATAAAATAAGCCTATCAAAGCAAGACAAAGGGGAAATTTAAAAAGCCAATCCCAATGAGGGGTATGAGGAGACAGCTCCTCTCCTCTTTAATTACAAAGCAGTGAGCTTTGCTGCCTCTCTCCATGGCATTAGCAAAGTGGTTCTCTTCAAATAGCTCAGTAATGCTAATAGGGTGTTGTTAATAATTAGTGCAAAGGATTTTCAGTTAACATACAGGCCGAATTGTGTTTTAAACTTTAAATATTAAGGTGTAAAAATATACTATCATGCATCAAATCACAGCATGGTTTATTAATCACCTGCAAATTTATCCTAAAAAAAAAAAAAAGAACAAAATCAAACTGGTACCAACGGTGAGGGAGCCAAAGGAAACAGTTCTGCCAGCAGCTTGTCTTGGGCAGGTTAATTTCCTGTTGCTTTATGCCTTAGTTTCCCCACAAGAAAAATGGGGATTAGGCAACCTTCTTAAAAGAGTAACAAACAATGAACAGTAATAAAGCTTACTGAAAACAGCGCCTTTATAAAGCCAGGATGCAATTACCGCCTAGCGTTATCCTGGCACACGGGGGAAAGAGATGTCCATTATGCCCAAGTGTGGGGGTCTCCTCTCCCCGCCATCCCAGCCAACTCTGCCCACAGGGAGAGAAGGGTGCACCCTCCTGGTGGACTCACCTTCACAAACTGCACGTCACTGAGGACGTGGACCGAGTAGTCGGGCGTGTAGAGGTTGTTGTTGCTGCTGTACAGCTGGGTGTTGCTCCCCTCAAAATCGGTGCGCTCACGGTTCGGAGACTCGGAGCGATTCAACCCGCTGCAGCGAGAAGGGGACCGGTTTACTGCAGATGTTGAGGGAAAAGCAGAGGGAGAGGAGGGGAAGTAAAGACAAGAAGGGGTGGGAGGGGAGGAAGAAAAGGGGGATGGAAAAAGGGAGAGAACGAGAGAGAGGTATTGGTTACTGAGTTCCTCCTGGTCTTTTGGGAAGTGGAATATGGATGGTGGAACTGGCCTGTGCCCCTCCCATTAGAGCCGCTCAAGGAGCCAGTGTGGCTTCGTTGACGTTTATTCTCGCCTTAGGCTTCCCGCCTCCCCAGACCTTTGAAGGGTGCAGAGGTGGTTCACTGCCTTTCTTGCTTCTGGTCTTCAGATTAGGTACAGGAGGATACCCCAACAAGCCGGGATGGATTACCTGGTAGACAAGGTACACATGGCTTACTTGTGTTGATTTACTAATCTGTAGTGCGCAATTTCATGGGTTTCACATTAAGGTATGGTGAAAAACAAGTGAAATTGTGCACTACAGATTAGCAAGTAAGCACAAGTAAGCGTGTGCGTACCTTGCTTAATATAAACCCTGGGTACCTTGCTTAGTGGTTAATCCGCCCCTGCCAACCAGATGAGGACAGTGCTGTGAGTGTGGCTTGCTACCTCAGACCACAAGACCCTCTACCACGGTGAATTATTTTCTAGAAACTCATTTATGAATATTATTTTAGAAAGGCCAAGCCTTAGGTTTGCCCTCAGAACCATTAGTCACAGCACAGAAAAGAGTCCTCACCCTCGTGATACATTTTCGCCTGCCCCAATATTTGCCAGGCCAGGGCACGCGTACAAATGAAGGCCCACAAAATATATGGATAAATATTTAAAAGTTATAAATCACCCACTCCTAGGAATATATCCTAGAGAAATAAGAGTCATCACTCGAATAGACATATGCACACCTATGTTCATGGCAGCATTGTTCACAATAGCAAAAAGATGGAAAAAACCTAGATGCCCATCAACA